TGTTGAAACAAATCATTGAAAGGCCAATTAGAGAAACGGAAGTATCCTTTTATGTTTCAAACCTGGAAAAAGCTTTGAGGAAATAAAAGTAATTACTGCTGGAAAGGAGATAGGAAAAATACTTTGAACCCAAGAAAATTTATAAACAAACTCACCCGTTAGCTACGAAAACATTTTCATTTATTACTTCATCAGTGTTCAATGAGGCCTTAAAAGAAAGAGTACGCTCACAATATTATTCAAACGACGAAGATTTAATCTACCTACTTTAATATAAACATCGAAAGTAATATTATTTGTATCAATATAACTGTTGGAATATGTATACGTATGATGTTCTACTCTACTCAATTGTATTTTAATATCACTAATTTAATATACGAATCTAACGCTTTTATTAACGTAACAGAAAAAATAATGTAACCATTGGTATCATTAGTTTGAAACCATTTCAAACTATGGAAATTTTAAAGTACCTATGTAAAATTTAGAGATATATTTACTACACCAGTTTTTAGTCATTATAGAAAACATTTAGCAATGAATAATTTACCAACTATCTCGAAATATTATTGTAATGTAAAGTGGAAACATTATTCCTGGCCTGGCGACCATATCGTGTTTTTCATTGGTTATTTTCCTTAGGCTTGTAATAAAAATAAACTTTAATTCTGTTTTAAAGTATATGCTTGAGTACAATTGCTACCTACTTACGAATTTAAATTGAAATTATATTTTAAAGCCTGCAAAAATTAAAGATCAGCTCTGTGAGTGTTGTAAGTAGGTAGAAACGGACATATGCATATCCAATTTTCTCCCTAAGATATTTGTAGAAAGATGTGTTAGTCAGTAGCAGATTGAATGTAGGTAGTCCTGACTAAGAAAATGGGTAACGAGAATAATATTTTGAAAGATATTCCAGTGCATTTCGAGCAAGTTACTGTCTAACACTTGCGAAATGTACCTAAACAAGTTTCAGAATCAGATTTTGTTAAGTGAAATTACTTTTTTTAGTTATTTATTAAATTCTGGAATTGCAGTTGTTATCAGAGCTAGTGCATTTCATAACAACAGTATAGAAACATAGACCACATTTCAACATTATATAGCTCTAAAAAAATATTAGTTAGATTTGTTTACATCCTTTATAACGGATACTATGCAATACGATTATTACGATTTAAAATTTTTGTTCCAGTTTATCACTGTACCAACTTTGTAAGTTGATAGAAGATGATAATGCAGCTGATAATCAAGCTTCTATTAACATTTACGCAATTCTTCCAACCGAGGAAGATGAGACCGATGAGGATTCCAACGCTAGTGACAATGAGCGGGATGCAAATTTGAATCATAGTATAGAGCTGCGGTTCTTGCACTTATGAAATTGGCCGAAGTACCACCAAACGCTGACTATAAGCTATTCTTTGACAATTATTTCTCCACTTTAAATTTATTCAAAGAATTGGCTGAACAAGGTTTCTGTGCAACTGCTACTATTCAGGAGAATAGAGTAATGAAATGTCATCTGCAAAGTGCTAAAGGAATGGCTAAATTGCCAAGAGGATCATACGATTTTCAGTCCACTTATAACGAAAATATTTTGGTAGTGCTGTGGAAAGATAACAAGGCGTGTACAACGTACATGTGTAACTTTTAGCACAGCTCAAGAAAAATCAATGGCAAGATGATGCAGACGAGAAAAAAAGAAAATAATTCTACCAGAATGCGGTTGACAATTTTCATTTAGTTATTTGACGCTGTCATTGTCAATGCATATCTATTGATGAAAAAGCTGAAACCTCAAGATGATTGTATTGTAAACCTATTGACATTTCGAAGACATTTATCACTTCACTTCTTAAAAACATATGGAAAACTGCAAGTCCTGGAAAGTTATGCCGAATCCTATTCACGATGTGGTATGATGGCAGAGAACATCTTCCAAAATATTCAGAAACCGATAAAATATGTAGAAACTGTAAATGTAAAGTAAGCACATGTGTGAAACGTAACGTGGGGCTTCACCCATCCAGCTACTGCAACCGTCAATTTATGATGAGGTTTTTAGGAAAGATAGGCCAAGCCTGCTTATTTGTAATTGGTGATAGAAAATAGTTATTATGAGGATTCTAAGATGTTACATTAACAACTAAACTGATATTAGGTCACGTACGTGAATTTATGATAATAATTGTAGAATCATTTAACAGTATTTAAAGTGTAGTCAGAGTATATCGTAAATGACGTTTTCCATATGGCAGAAATTGGAGAAAATTGTCTTAACACCTCCCGTATAGTTTATAAGTGTTATAAGTGTTACATTTTGAGGATGACATGTGAAGATGAAATACTTCTGGTAACTTGGTTGCTTACGCGACCAATTACTTTATACTCTATTGGGTAAATAAATTCCATATCATGTGGAAAAATGTATTATTCTGAGAAATGAACAAAAATTTTCGTATTTGTACTTTTTTACAATATATTTAAATAAAAAATTTCGCTTTATATTTCATTCATCTAATATTACGAATTTCGAAGGTCAGGATTATTCACAGAATGCCAAGATTGAATTACCAAGACTTATATATCTCTCTAATATTAAATGACCTGATTAGATTTTGAACACGTTTTCTCGATCCAAAATGCAGTTTATTTCAATATATCCCATATCTAGAGCAAGTAATGCTATCATTTTTATATAGGTCATTTAATACGGACTCTGTGGAGGATGAAAACGATAAAATAAATGTGTCTAGTATTAAGGTTAAATCCATTCAGACTTAGCTGTAACATGTTTTTTTTTTGTAAAATAACAAAAGATAACAAATACAAAACGATTATTGGATATGCAATAATTAATTTCTTCAAAGCTATAGGAGGAAAGTGGCAACAAATAGAAAAAGGGACATGTGGCAGTATTTAAAAGAAATAGTTATAGCGGATCTCATACACTCATAATCACCTGATATTATGAGATCCTAATCAATTGTCTGTTTGTATTTTATTAATTTCCTACATTCAACTGATTAAAATATAACTAAAGCTAATTACCCAACTTGAATTTTCTACTAGGCACTTTTGTTTCCAAATATCATATTTGTTTTATTCTTGGTATATTAGTACAGTATTAAAACACTATTAATAATTAACGTCACTTTATTTTACATAATTTCAGAATTTAAACCAAAATTTTTCTGTTCCGTAGTGCTACTTATGAAAAAAATATGCGATTACAAGATTAAAATTATATAACCATATTGATTGTTTCAATAACAGTATACATACAGGGTGTTTCTGAAATAAGTGTTGAAAAGGATAAGGCATGAGGGCACAAAAATGAGCAACTTTTATTAAGCAACTGATGGTCTAAACTAAATGCTTCTGTTTTCGAGAAATTTAATTAACAAAATTAACCACAAATGTAAGCCAACCCTGTGCATCTTATTCACGTGTGTTGTGTATTGCAATAATACTTAGCTGGTCTATAAAATGTTTTCTGATCAAGAACTAGCAGACGTGGTGTTAAAGTACAGAGAATGTCAGTACAATTTAAATAAGACTTGTCGTTTTTATGCGGTCCATCTGACATATGAAGGCCGCAACGTGTTTTCGACAACGAAGAAGACATCATAATCCTCCTTGAGGAAGATCCGAGGAGCATTGCTCGCGACACTCACCAAGTAGTAGGTGTATCTAACAGTACCGTGTGGCGTGTGCTATGGGAAAAATTATTACACCTCTATCATGTACTAGGGGTTCATGCATTAATTACAGAAAGAATGAACAAAACAAATTTTGAGTTCTGGGTAACGTGCCCTCTAGCGGCACATAGTGACACTTTTCTCTGACTGGTCCAATAAGAGCTTCATCTACTTAGCGGGTGTGCTAAATGAGAGACCAATCGAACTTGAATTAAATAAGTTATTTAAATAGAAATATTAAAAAAAGAATAACTTTGACAAGCTGTAACTTGCAAACAATTGACAATTCGAAAAAAATTTCTTTACACACTGCTATTATTTCAATCCGTAGAATCACCTCTCAGATTTTCCTGACGAACTTTCAGAACATCCTGTATAATAATTGTTGATAACTATGAATAATAATTTCAATACAATTATTGAAATATTGAGAAAAATTGGAAATTTTAAATTTTCGGCGGTCATTTTCGAATGTGACCGATCACTTATGGTCACTGACTTTATAGCTGAGGAAATGAAGCATTGAATCTCCGAAATCTGTGCAGTAAGATAGATTGTGATGCAGTTTTTTGCATTCGATTCCTTAGAGAGTTCAGAAAGTTTGTGACCCTATGTGATCAATGAGAAATGAAAATTGCATAGGTGCATAAGAAAAATGCATTTTCAAAATTGCATCTCGAAGAATTAAAAAATAAAAAATTTATAAATTGGAAAATATTGACGGAAATGAGTTCAATTTTGCTACTCGGGGGCTTTTGGGGTCGTCGAACACGAATATCACGACGACAACGGTCTCCTAGGTACAATTTTATACATTTTTCATTTTTTAACTTCTTCGAGATGCAATTTTAAAAATGCATTTTTCTTATGCACCGATGCAATTTTCATTTCTCATTGATCACATAGGGTCACAAACTTTCTGGACGTTCTAACGAATCGAATGCAAAAAACTGCATCACGATCCATCTTACTGCACAGATTTCGGAGGTAAGGCCGTTTCTAATGCTTTATTTCCCCGACTATTAGACAATTTGGTCGTTTTTGGTAAGCGAGATTTAAATTGTTAAAAGTAATAGTAAAAAATACTTGAAAAAGTTTAATGATTATCTCTACCGAGCTAAGTGACCTAAAGTCGCAAATCAAAACCCATTTTTATCATATTTGTCATCGTTATCAGTATCGAGAAGCTATATCCAAAATAGCGGGATAAAATTTTTAATGATAAATCAGATCAGAGTATTTGTAATTTTATCCGATAATTGCTAAAATTTATAATATAAAGGAGATAACATATTTGAGACACATTAATAGAAGAATAAATAATATCAACACAGTTAGTTTCTGCGAGTCTACAGAAAGTGAAGTGATAGGTGAATTTGGTGCAGTGTGATCTGTTTTTTATGGACTTTTTGCTAAACGGGTATAATTTAAATACTTTAGTAAGTGTTCTTTGTCAGTGTCCAAATAAAAAACACCTCATATACTATGGACAATAAAAATGATTAAACATTATGTCCTGTATAAAAAGAGTTCTATTAATTTTGTCATCTAAATCTCTTTTAACGTGATGGGAAACCTATTTCGGTCAACAGTTGTTATTTCTAACGTATTACTAGCATCAACTATTTAAGATAAAAATAAATAATTCATATAGTTCAGTTAGTGAAAAAAAGTGGCATTTATATGAAATAGCAATAATGAAGTTTTTTAAAGCAATATAGTTATTCTTGTATAATAACTAATAAATACCTAGAAATACATAAGAATCACAAATATTAACTTTGAAGAACACTTAAGTCTTATAGTATAATATTTGGTTCGACAAACAAGAAATTTTTGAAAGTATCCAAATTCGTTACGTTTCATAATTATTCCTACTTTAATTTAAATTCACTGCTTGATTAATAGTCCAGACGGTATCTGTTTCAAAGAGTCCATATTTATATACAGGGTGAGTCATTAATAATGGGACACAGCCTAATGGCAGATTGTTAACGTCAAAATATAGTGATTGGGCCAAACATGCCTTAATCAATTGTTGCTCCTTTTCGTTCTACAGAGTGTTAAAGTTGAAAAAATATTTTCGATTTTTTGTTATATTTTAAGTATGTACGGACCGATTGTTTTGAAAATTTATAGTTTTACGTTTTTTGAGGTGACAAATACGAATATGCAAACAGTGTTGGAGTCACGTCTAGGGGTGCTAGTTATACTGTCCTATCAATGTAATGTAGTGGTAATAGTTTAAATAACTAAATGGATTTCACAGACACTTACAGTGTACGATAATTTAATAAACAAAGAAATCTAAATAAAAAAATTAGATACATTTGAAACAAATACACTGAAGATGAATTTTTCGAGACAAAACGTCTGAATCTAATTCGGGCTAAGGCAGTACAGTATTGGAGGTTCTGAAGGCTTGCAAAATATGTAATAAAATTTCTAGGGTCGTATTTAAAAAAATAAAGTTGATGGTGGTCCTGGGGAGACGAAACGTTATATACAAAAATTGATTATGCCATTCGATAGAGGGTAAAAAGTGGCTATGAGAAAGTGTTGTTCTTTTTTCAATATCACCTCAAACAAGGTTGAAATTAAACAAAAACGGATTTTCAAAATTTCGTTTTTTTCAAATATTTCAAAAACTAATTATGTTAGCCTTGATTTTTTAGATGCATAATGTTGGTCCCCTGATTACAAAACTTTGCCCCCATTTAAGCTACTTCGTGGCTCTTACCGTTTCCGAGATCCTGTAGTGAGAAGCGAATTTGTAACAGCCTGTATATAGTATATAAACGATTATAAAAGGATTCATTGAACCAAATTCACAGATTAATAAGGATAACAGAACTGCTAACAGAATATTACAGATTTAACAATACGATTTGGTAGAAGTAGAGTAACCGCTATTCCGAAGAGCAAAACCAGAAACTGGACTCTGAGTAAAGTTAGATCAAGAACTCTCAGATATCAGTGCTCTACAATAGACCCACAGATTATTATGAAGGAAAACATGTATTTTCATATATTCACAATCTACGAATCACCACTTAAGCTCTCCATAAAAAATTGCCATTATATCTATAAGTGTGAAAGATTTTGTTTATCAATACAAAAGTTATCTACAATCAACTTAAGATTCATAAACAGCATTATCACTAACTTCATTTGCTTATTGTGATAACAGCAGACATGCAATGATTCCAATTTGTTTTCTACGACTCTATATTGTTTACCTTTTAAAAAATTTCATCTAGAAAAATATATGACGAAGAAGTAATCTAGATATGATTGCTACGATAATATCTTGTTATTTATTTTTGCAGTATTATAACCTACAAAGATGGATACTACTATATTTTAAAATGTACTTATTTTAACTAACTCGTGATTAATATGGAATACTCATGAAATAGATTAAATTGTTTTCGTATTTTGATATATTCTTCATAGGTATTAAAAATAAATAGGATCATTTTTTTAAATAAGGATCTCACTTTACTTACGCATATTTTAAGATAACACAGCCATACACAAAAAAGTCCAAACCCAAGAGAACCTCATATTTTCGAAGGAATTCGTTGCGCTGAACACGATGCTGTTGTCGAAATTCATGATTTCACGACAAATTTCGGAGAAAAGTGAAATTTTTGGCTGACTCAAATATAGATCAAAACTGTTTTCTTCGAAAATTTTTTCCAAATATATCATTTTCGTAGTATTTTGCGACGCTGAATACGATGCCTTTAGTAACATTTATCCACGACCTCAATATTTCTCAAAAAAAAAAAAAAACAGATTTTTTCCTAAATTGCGTCCAAATATATCATTTTCATAATATTTTGAGACGCTGAATACGATGCTATTAGTAAAATTTACCCATGACCTCGATATTTCTCAGAAAATTCACTATTTGGGTGAAAACTGTCCTAAATATGGGCCAAAACGAGTGTATAATTTTCGTAGTATTTTGGCCACTGTTCACCCCAGTTTTCAACCAGTTTTTTTTCATCGTTTTTCAGCGTCTTAAATTACTACGAAAATCAAACAACGACAAAGTCTGGAAAAAATCAGTTCTGACTCAAATTTGGACCAGTCTTCACACAAATAGTGAATTTTCTGGATAATACCGAAGTCATGGGTAAATTTTACTAATGGTATTGTATTCAACGCCTCAAAATTCTACAAAATGATGTAGTTGGACAAAATTTACCATATTTGGACCAGTTTCGCCCAAAAATTTCATTTTTCTTCTAAGTTTTTCATGAAGTCATGAATTTTGACTGCAGGATCCTGTTCAGCGCATCGAATTCCTTCGGAAATGATTTGTGGGTCTCCTGGGTTTGGACTTTTTTTGTGTGGCTGTGATAATCCATCAATTGTTACAGAAGAAGCAAAGATGATAAATTTCAAGTATCATGTTTAATATTTAAAGGTAAAGACATTATAATACGGAAAAAAAATATCAAATTTGTAGATTGCAATCGTTAATCTCATAGAAAATAAATAATGTATTTTTCTTTGATCAATTCGACATATAAAGAATATAATATTTCTCCCCCAGTTCCTAAATTTCAAATTGTTCTATTGTAAAATATTACTAACTTTGTCGAAGTTATTTTAAGTAAAAAATATATTTTTTTCAGACATGAGAAGCGTTTTAAGGATACCCCTAATATATTTTATATTACTTATAGCAGGAGGTAGGTAGTACATATTTTAATATCTAGTAATTTGAGAGTATTATAAAATTTAAAATAAGTAATGAAAAGAAATTTCTTCAGTTTTCTTAATAATGCCTTAACAATTACAAATATTTTATTTATTTTATATTTTATAAATTACGTTATCTGTATCTAATAAAACATTTAAAAACTGTTACAGTAAACTGTGATGACATAATTGTCGCAATAAATGAAAATGTCATTGTAACGCCGAATGAAGCAGGCACCTTTTATACGGTTTCGATGAAGGAAAATAACCACGATTTCGAAGCTGGTGTTCAAGTGCTATTACCCCTTTTTAAAATTGTTGACGGTAAGTAAATATTTTTTTCTAAGTAACGGGTAAAAACTAGGTATCTACAGGTGTTTCATGATGAATCACTACAGCCAAAATAATTATTGTCACTTATTCTGTCAAATGTATTTTTGCCTTAAGCACTTTAATTTGGAATTTTGTGTCTTAACCCCTTCTATAACTATAACTATAGGAATAGGTAATTAATTGCATCCTTTTCTTTTAGCAAATATTGAGCCAACAATCAGTTTTGTTTCTTCATCCTTCCAGTATTCTGTGCTTAAAACCAAAGAGGAAACATCGTCTTATATATTTTATGCAACACAGTCTTTTGACTACGAGACTCAGCCCTCCCAGTACCTGTTCAACGTTCAGCTGAATTTGAACTATACTCCCGTAATTTATTTTATTATAATTAATATAAATGACGAACAACCCTCGTTGTCTCCACCACAATGATCAGTTGACTATCCAATTCGAATGAGTAAAAAAATGTTGCCTAAAAATATTTATTTCCGGCATTGGGTCTTGTTGGATGCAGTTAGGTGAAAGTTAAAAAATTTTCTATGCAGATAAGGAAAAAGTTTTTCCAATATTCTGCATTCTGCATTCATAGATTATAAGTAGAATTACCTAGAATGTTGAGATAATTTATGCCTTATGATAATTTGTTCCTTATCTGTATAGAAAATTTTCTAATTTTTATCTAACTGCACTCAACAAGACCCAATGCCAGAAATAAATATTTTCAACATGGCTACATTTGGTAGGAAGTGACCTGCTATTTTGCAGGTACTAATCGCACGACCTCTCTCGCTAACTGGGCGGTTGTCTCACATATGACATACTAATGAGGACTGATAAGTCCGAAACCGGTCTATGTCTTGTGAGTTAAACTGATGGACGATCTTATCCGTTTTAATAGGGGTTGCGGGTATAATCAAATGCTGGCCGGTGTATGTAACCCGCAGAGTTTAAACAAACAATATACACAATAAAATTGCACTAAGTAAATAATCAGGGCAACATCAGCAGACTAATGTATTATATAGATTTACCAGAGTTTTATTTAATTTTGCATTTTTTGGATGTATATTTACATATTCTTTTTAAAAACACATTGTAATTTATTTTGTGTATAATATATTATACAGGGTGATTCAAAAAACCGCTGAAAGACTTCTAGGGTAGATAATACATGAAAAATTAAGATGAAAAGTCATAATAAATATAGGGTCGCAAGTGCCTCCTTAACACGATACAGGGCGTCAAATTTTCTGTGAAATTAAACATTGTAATAATTCCAAAATGCTTGAACATTTCTATTCCAAATTTGCTATGCATAGTTAGCACCTTAAGACCAATGTTTGATGTACTGTTCAAAATTTTATGAGCGGCAGTGTCGTAGAGACGGGGTCAACGTGACCCTTTTTTAAAAATATTTTCTACGCCATTGCTAATTTTATCAAACGGGCTATTTTCGTGTAAAGTGTTCAATTGTCTACCGAATTGGTCTCTTGCAAAATTTTGATTAAGGCACGCATTTTTAAGAAAAACACGTTTGTAGAAAATTTGTGAATCCAATTTTATATTCATTCATTTTAGTTTCGCATAGTAGGCTTGTGCTGTTCAATATAAAACATCGGCTGTCACTAATGTCAATAATAAGTGCACAAGTGAGTTAAGTAAACTAGCTTATAAGCTTATTTTTGTCATTTTTACGGTTATTTAAATTACTTCAGCTACTTCACTATTTTCAATAACAGTATGAATTACGAATATTCATTTGCAGAGATGACAGATTTGCATCTATGTTATGGGCTAGCGAATTTTGTTCCCCGTGATGCAGTTAGGCGGTACATAGAAATATTTCCTGCACGAAGAACACCAAATCGGCAAATGTTTGATAATATCGATAGAAGATTAAGAGAAACGGGTAAATTAAAAACAACAAAATTTAATTCTGGACGACGGCGTTATGCTAGAACTCCGGAATCTGGGGAAATGGTCCTGACAGCAGTAGAAAATAATATGTTAAGTACCCGACAAATTTCTAGAAATTTAAACATATCACAATCATCTGTTTGAGAACACTTCGCGAACAACAATTGCACTCTTATCACTTTCAACGTGTTCAACATTTACTACCTCAAGATTACCCACCAAGACTAGAGTGGTCACGATGGCTGCTTGGCAGGCTTGCAGAGAATCCCAATTTTTCGGCGAATATCTTATTCATGGATGAAACATCGTTTACGAGACGAGGAATAATTAACTTCGACAATAATCATTTATGATGCGACGAAAATCCTCACGTCATTCGAATAACAAATTTTCAGCATGAGTTTTCAATTAACGTTCATTCTGGTATTATTGGCGACACGCTCATTGGCTCTTTTAGACTACCAAATAGCCAGTCTTACCTTAATGCATGATTTGAACAGCTTGTTAGATGAAATACCACTGGATGTGCGGAAGAGCCTTTGGTTCCATCATGACGGTGCTCCGGCACATTTCGCTCGACAAGTAAGAGATTATTTAAATATGACATACCCTAGGCGGTGGATTGGACGTGGTGGTCCAATCTAGTGGCCCGGTCATGTTAAGGAGCTGATTTACGTAACCAGTAAATTGGATTGATGAATTATGGCAACGAATTTAACAAGCCTTTCAAACAATTCGTAATACACCCGGGATTTTTGAAAAAGTAAGAAGATCCTTAGCTCGGCGGGTAGAAACGTGTATCGAATCACAAGGTGGTCACTTCCAGTACCTACTGTGATATTTTACATTATTTTCAGTTATACAATTTTTATCATTACGTTTTCACCCTTAAATTTGTTGTTTATTGTTTACGTTATTTCATTCTGACAAAATTAGTTGAAACCTAAATTACTCAAAAACTGTAGCTTTTATCAAAATTTTCCACCATTTCCAATTCGATAGACAATTGAACACTTTACACTAAAATAGTGCCCGTTGGACAAAATTAGCAGTGGTGTAGAAAATATTTTTAAAATCCCGTCTCTACGACACTGCTGCTCATAAAATTTTGAGCAGTACATCAAACATTGGTCCTAAGTGCTAACTACGCATAACAAATATGAAATAGAAATGTTCAGGCATTTTGAAATTATTGCAGACAATGTTTCATTTACAGAAACTTTGATGCCCTGTATCTCGTTAAGGATGCATTTGCAACCCTATGTTTATTAAGACTTTTTGTCTTAATTTTTCATGTAATTTTCATGTATTATCTATCCTAGAAGTTAGCGGTTTTTTTAATCACCCAGTATATAACATTTTTACGAAGTAACTTTACATTTCAAAAACAATTCACACTAAATATTATGAAAGAAATAAAAAAATACCTAACTTATTCTGTAAAAAAGTATCTAATTATTATCTGATATTACTCTTGTTTCTTTCAGTGTATGACCAAAATTAACTGTTTCTTATTTTGCAACTTAAATTAAATAAAAGTCCAAAATCATCTGTTTTAAAACATACCTACCACATACACTGTTCTGTAAAGTAGTATTATTTCATTGTATTTTGAACTCTACTGTTGTGATAATAGCATGACACATAGCAGTTTAACTTTGATATTTGAGTGAACAAAAATGCAAAAATACTGAAAAGGGACTTACATAGAAGCTGAAATGTTAAGATAGGTTCAACTTCTTGTGAAAATAACGGGAAACAATAATTTTTAATTGACGAATCAGGTTTTTCAAAAATTAAGAAGTTGCCGAAAATAAACACTTTAAAATTATCAATATCTGGAATATTCACTGTCTATTATCAAAAATGATTTCGAAACTATTAAATCTGATTTATAATGATCCATTGTTGTGTTTGTTATTATTTAAATTATAAAAAGAAATATATTTTCACCATTTATCGTTCTAAAAATTTTCTTGTTCTGGTAGAGTCTAACAAGAGGTGTATTAAATCCAGACTGGAAATATTGTGCACTGGTAGAAATCAATTTAATAGATTACAATGATGAATTACCTGAATTTAAGGAGACCGAGTATTATGTATCTATAAACGAAACTGCTAAAAAGGGCGAATTTATAGTACAAATTCTGGCAACGGATCTTGATGCAGAGGATAAAATTTTAGAGTAAGTTAACGTTCTTTGTAAGTATATGCAACCTATATGTTAAATGAGTCAATTATGAATCATTTTTTTAATTTAATTCTCTACTACTAAAAAATCTGTTAATTTTAAAACGACACGAAATTTCCTACTTATTTTTTGAGCTAAGTTCAATATTTTTGTTAATATAGACTAAAATCCAAAATAGTATGCTCCATTATGAAAAAAAAATATATACAAGATAATTTATACAGTAGTAACAACATACTTGTATTCTAATAGTGTTGGTAGGTCTAATCTATATCTATACTATCTATACTAATATTATAAAGAGGAAACATTTGTATTTTTGTATGTATGTATGTTTGTTACGAATAAACTCAAAAACTACTGGACGGATTTCGATAATTCTTTCACCATTAGAATGCTACATTATCCCTGAGTAACATAGGCTATATTTTTTATATCCCAAAATGTTTGTCCACCCGTGCGAAGCCGGGACGGGCTGCTAGTGTAAGTAATATCCCAAATGAAACGCAGGATTTCACATGAGGAAAAAAGATTTTATTAATTAAAAAGTTTTTATGTTTTTAAAAGGTAGACATTGCCATTAAATATGAAAGAGGATATCGGACACATGCCCTCATCGAATCATTTGGCATTTGGATTTCTTTTAAGAAAATTCTGTATCACGTTTACGCATACCTACGGCTGAATTTCGTTGATAACATTCCGAACATCTGCCTTCAATTCAAGAATGGTATCCATTTGAGTAGAATAAACTTAGACTTCCCCAGGAAAATGTCACATGACGTAAGATCGCATGATCTTGATGGCCAAATCACTTCACTGTTACGTCTGATGAGTGGTCGATTAAAGTTCTACCATAACAAGTGGATAATTTCACGTGTCGTATGGCAGCATCATCCGTTGGAATACATTCATACAAATGAGGTTACAAAAAATTCAATAGCATCTCTCGATATCGCTATCCATTGACAGTCACATGCGTTTCCAGCCTCATTTGTAAAAAAGAACGGACCAATCACCCCACCAGCGTAAAATCCACACCACACAATCCCTCAGTGAGTATACAGTAGTCGTTCTTGAATGATGGATTGTCTCTGCCCCAAATTTGATCATTTTGCTTGTTCACATACTCACTGAGATGAAACGCGTCTCGTCCCTAAAGATGATTTTCTTAGCAAATTAAATTCTTGAGTTAGCTGAATCTCGAATGGATGCAGATGCTGATCATTTGTTAAAATGAACTGCATTGTGCTTTTTGAAATGTTTAATTGCAGTGATCGAAGGCGCACTGAAGCAATATTTTTGACTGAATGGTCAGTAGGAATCCGGCCTGGTTTTTTATTGTATGCAAACGAACTCAAATTTGGCAACTAACTTTTTCATAGTTTATTCATTCGGGGCGTTAGTTCTACCGAAATTCCACATAATTTGCTCACAGTCTCAGCTACACACTGTCCGTAGTTTTCACAATCTTCACTCGCTCATCCGTCATATAGCGTTCCATTTTGTCTAACCGCAATGTGTACTACAACAATTATGATCCTGCATAATGCTGCCAACTCTTCGGAAAATGGCGCACAATTAAATTCTGCGTTACTTTTGGGACACCCTGTTATAACATGATTTTGTAAGTCCTAGCAGCTTATGGCACTTATTTGCCAAATTATACCTTAACCTCATTTCACAATCACATATTATTCTCAAATCCCTGGCTTCAGGTTCTTACTGTATACGGTTCACATAGTAAATATTGTACCAAAAGCTAATTATAATATTATGTTAATATAATATTATACCTAAGAATGTAATTTATTTCTGTGGCAAAAAGGAAATGTTTAAACCTTTCTGTAACAATAAGCAGTCCTGACTTAATTTCGCTAACAGTTTTAATATCGCCGGTATCCAAAAGATATTTTTAACATTGTAAACAGATTCCATCATTATTAATGTAAGCCAAGAAAAATTGTGGTCCAAGATGGGAAACCTGGGAGTTATGAAGTGGTACAAAAAGCTTTACAATAATATAATTAGCTGTAAATCTTAGTTACTTACATATTTAACGCGTGATTATATTTTCAGACACAGCCTACTTACATCAGCATATGCGAGTCAGATTTTAGAAATCGAATCAGATACAGGAAATATATATGTGAGTGCAGATAATGCATTTGACTATGATACAGTTAACCCGATATTCGTCATAGTTAGAGGCACTGATAAAGCTCGCCATACCACTTCTGTACCATTAACCATAAACTTACTCGATGTAAACAATAAAGCACCAACTATATTTGTGGTAAGTTTTTCGTATCTGTATGTGGTAAATAATTATTTCTTAGTTTTTATATGATTTTTTACCTAAAAACACTTTTGAACTAAAAAATGGTCTCCAAAACTAAATATTTGTTAATATTGCATTTAAAGGCTATTTCAGAAAGTAACAGCAAACAATATTTCATGAAAGGAAGTTTTGAAACTGACAGAGTAGGATGATATCCTGTGAGGTAAGGTTTTAAGGTTTACAGGCTTTAATGGCAGTTACGGACTAATTACCACATTTTATCAGACAATACCGTTTCTAATTTTTAAGACATTTTGAAACTGGAGATTAGGTTAAACATTAAAGTCAGTCCGCACTGATAGGCATCTAAAACGCTCAGTTTCATCACCATTCAGTATAGAAATAAAGTATTTTGACAGCTCAATGCGCCTTGCCACCACTATTTGCAGACTTGGACACTTTGGCGAGGAATTACAACGTAAATATTGCTTCTTCTCATTATCTTGTCTTTCAACCTCTGAAGGACACTTTGGGAGAACTATAATTTAACAATAATGGGGAAGTAGAAGAATGTGGCTCTTGACCGAAGTTAGAAGAGAAAACAGTACATAAGTGTATCTTTAATATGTTAAATTTGCTGTTGCTTTTTGAACTACCTTTATTTTATTTTATTTATTATTATATGTTATATTATTTATTTTTATTTATTTTATCCTAAATAGATCTTACAATCTTTTATTTTACAATCTTTGATCTTTCAAAGATTGTAAAATGGAATTGTATACTTCTAATTTGGTACAATTTTCTTAAAGTAGGAAATGTTAAACAGTTATTTGAAGTTAGAAAATTTTCAATTATGGATATGGATGGGCCATTTTTGAACAAAATTTGTATACCTCTTGAGTTTTTCCCCAAAATGTACGATTGGTTTGTAGTAAACACCTACGAAAATATTATTTTCAGGGATCAGAAAGTCGGAGTTAGAAGTGAATTATTTTAATTTACACTTGACACAAATTTGTTTTAAAATGCTACTAACGCTGTGATGTTCCTTGGATTCTTTACCATGTATCATGCGATACTACGCAAAAATTCCATTGTATCCAATCCATCAATTTAAAGAATTGTCCCTTAGAATCAGGTTTGAAAATTTATCGTACCGTCGCCGTTAACACTGTGACCATCAAGGAATTAAAGTTTCCCTTACGTCAAACGGACGATCAATATAGAGATTAAAAAACGCTTTATGAATAAACAGCCATACATACACATACTCTTCATATTTCGACATGATAAAAGTTCTTTTTAAGGAATATCCGATTAACGTTGATGAAAATCAAAAATCGGGTACCGTTCTAAATTCCAGCATAACGGCCTCAGATATGGACGCCACTGCAAAATTATCAGCGGAGATAGACTGGGATATGTCTTATGCAATGAAGAATTCACGAAGACTGGATATGAATAATGAGGCAATTAGCCAGCAAGTAAAGTGAGTAGATACATAGATTAAGTACTAATTGTCAATTTGAATATTTCTTACATTCTACATTAAAGATGACGTAATTTCTAATTATAAAGAAAATATTGCCTTATAGGTTTTTAGATGTGGAATATCATAGAGTGAATGAATTAGATGATACTAATAGAGACATAGCAATTGATTTAATAGTAAACGGCAATAATCCTGATTGGACAACTCCGGATTACGAGCTCTTCGATATGTTATTCCTCTCTCTCAAAGTTACGGATTGGATGACTGATCCTGAGTTCATAGAACAACAAAACACATCAGGTAATATTATATTCCAATAATAACCATCATAAAATAAACATAGTAAAACCGTAGAAATTTGTCTGTATTCAATCTGATTTAAATATGTAGTAGGAGATACAAAAAAAAACAAAATTTAATATAACTTTCTTAGGGCTGATTATAATCCTATTAAACGAAAATTTGCTAAACTGACTGGAGCTAACTCTAAAAGTACTTGGTAAAGCACAATGTTGGCAAATGATATACCTAGATATTATTATTATTATTATTAACCTCAAAACTCTCGTAAGAATCGACTTTTAACAATTATTTATCTATCTTGTTTTTTATGCAAAAAAAATTTAATGAATTTACGTTGACTTTCCTCATTTAGAAATGCGAATAAAAAATCGAATTAAAATTTCTTAAATTAAATATAAAAAAACGTGTTCTTATCTAAAAGAAAATTTAAAATAATTGCTTTATTGGTTTCAAGTTAAAAAAAAAAATGAATATGTACTCGTAATTTTGACCTAATTTCTGTCCCTACCAGTACCTAATAATAATTTTGTAATTAATTTGTTATAATTTCTAACAACTACTTAAATATTGAAATGAAGAATACAAAATATTTAATATTTTTAATCACAATTTATTTATAATAGCCGTTCAAAATGTCTGCCTTCGTTTTGTATACATAGATTTACTCGTCCCCTTAAACTGTTAAGTACATTATATAGTTTATTTTCTGTAATACTAGCTAATTTGTTTGTTATGGCGCCCTTTAGTTCATCCACCGTGTATAAGCGGATTACATATATGGAATTTTTTAATGTTCCAAAGAGACAATAATCTAAGGGATCTAAATCCGGAAATCTTGGGGATCATAAGCCTGGACTAATAATGCGATCGTCATCAAATTATTTTAGGAACTCCAGTGTTGTGTTAGCTGTATGTGCTGTTGACCCATCTTGTTGAAAGTAATTCGTCATCATGTAGCTGATTTAAAAATGGTTGAAAAATGTTTTGTCTATATCGCTCAGCTGTAACATTATCTTAAAAAAAATAGGTCCAATTATTCTTCGTCGAGATATGACTACCCAACTCCTATTTTAACAAGATGCAAATTCGGTTCCATTAACACCTGTGGATTCTCCGCAGACCACGTACGATAATATTGTGAATTTATGTCTCCACTAAGATGAAACCATGCCTTATCAGTAAAAAAAGTTATATCTAAAAGGTTTTCATCGTTTAAGTCAGGTATGGGCAATCTTAATAATAGCATAATCGAACATATAAAAAGCAAATTAATAAAAAAATATAGAAAAATTAAATGAAAATTAATGAGATACTTGAGTTTGAAGCTATCGTTCTTTGAATTTTCTGAATCTCTCGCGGCCGGATTGAAGCTGGTGGAGGGCGGGGGTTGCCCATGTATGGTTTATGTTGTTAAACCAGTTACAATAGTTCACTCTGTGTTCATTATCTAATGATAATAATTCTTGCACCATGAAAACTTTATATGGATGTAAATGTAATGTTCTTATATCTCTGTGTAGTGAACCATATGACATTCCTATAATTAATATTTTTAAATACTGATATTTAACATTTTATAAATATTTAAGTTTAGTGGGGCTTGCTGCTAAACGCTTTCTAACATCCTCTAGTTTATCTTCAGTTAAAACTGACTTTCCTCCAGATAACTTCGCTTTACAAACACTGTCTGTATTTCTAAATCGTGTCACCAAACGTCGAACATAAAAATCAGCGCTTCATGATTTTAAAACTCTTCCTGAAATTGCAAAAAACATGAATGGATTGAATAATTCCATTTATTTTCATCCCGTTGACCACTCCAAAAGTAGGCCTCTACAAAATTTATCGTCTTCTAACGAAAAGACCATTTTCTAATCTAAAACAGTTCGAGTACTTTATATCGAACAAATCATCAGTATTTGCTTCCTTACCACGAAACTAACAATTAACAGATGATTAGCGTTGAAAAAACACTGATTATTTAGAAGATTAACGATAAATTTAAATAATAACAGAATCGGCGAACACAAATAAAAGCACAGGTGTCTCTGAATATTGACAAATCGTGAAGGTCGAAAATCTAAGAACACGGAAAGTAATTTTGATCAAATGGAAGTAAATTTTAATATCTTTGGTAACAATTACGTGTGACGTCAGCTTCAATCACTCTATGTAGATCGCTCGGTAGATAAAATTAGATTAGATTAATTACACTACTACTATTCATTATGGTTTTCTTATAACACTAGGAAAAAAAAAGAATCTACTACCGAAAATTTTCAAATGTTCGTAGAACTATGATTACATGTACTCGAAACTTTGAATGCTTAGATTTTGTCTCTATCTTTGAACCTTCTAGTACTCTACCTTACGTAGATTTTAATTCTACAACTTTAAAAACAATTAATGACAGTAAAGATCAAATTCATAAATAATGTAGATGGAAATAAAACTGCCGAATCAGACAATTTACCGCTTTCATTTTTTATAAAGTATCTATATTGTAACATTAAAATTTTCAAAAAGTCAATACCAATGTCAATGTTTCCATAAATTTGGAAGCACGCTCAAATTGCAGCACATAATCAACATAGTCAATTACTGCCCTATTTCTATACTTTCAATTCCTGTTAACTTGTTCGATGCAACAGTTTCTACGATTTTATTTTTTAAAACTAAACAATGTATTACTGAACATCAACACGGTTTCTTGTTCAGTTGTACCTATTTTAATCCTTGTAGTACAAAATATTAGAAATAAAAAGAGTATGTAAATGGATTGAATTCCAATTTTCGAAGGTTTTTTATATAACGTTCACGTTATAATACTCTTACTCTTAAACTTCAGAATATCGGCTATAAACGGTAATCTATTAAATGACGGATTACATCATGTATATTTAACAGATGTTAAATTCAATTTTACATATTTCCCTGTAGCTGTTATGTTGGGTGTTCCACAGGGCTTACGTATGTAAGCCTACTTCGGTTTTCATTATACCTATATATACGATACTAAGCGTATCTGTACTTTAACCTATCCCTTTAATCTAAAAATGTTATCTGATTCACATGTAGAATCTGTTGTTAGGAAGACTTACTGTAATTTCGATTTCATAATGGGAATTATAAAGATCTTTTACTTGTCCCAAGTAATGCTATTGTATGTAGCTTTAATCTTATAACAAGTATACAGGGTGGTCCGAATTTTATGCAGGAAACTTCAAGGGCAGATAGATCTCTTTAAAATAACAGGTGTTTGCCTTATAAACATAGGTCTGGAATGGCCTCGTTTTAAAGATACAGGGTGTTGAAGATGTTAAAAAAATTGATATTTTGTTTATATCTCCGGAAACTATTAACCGATCTCAATAAAATTTAGTACAGATAATGTATGATTGTAGGCCTTGTATTCCCTAAAATATGAGTTCTAAAGGTGCAACCAGCGGTGTACAACTGAACAGGGTCACCCTCTTTTTTATAAAAAAACCTACGCCACTGTATTTTTTGAGTTATTATAACGGATTTATGTTCCAATGCACAAAATGCGTAAAAAAGGTAACTTGAATTTTTTCCCTAAAATTTAGTACATATAATGTATGATAATAGGCCTTGTATTCCCTAAAATATGAACTCTATAGGTTCAGGCAGTGGTGTACAACTGGACAGGATCACCCCCTTTTTTGTAAAAAAACCACGCTACTGTATTTTTTACACGATATTATAACGAATTTATATTCTAATGCACAAAATGCGTAAAAAAGGTAACTTGAATTTTTTCCCTAAAGTTCACCGTTCTCAAGTTATTCATACCAATTCAATCCCCTTGTGGCAGACAATGCTAACCATAATATTACAAGAATATTTATGTTTATGCTTAAAAGTAAGTGCAATTTATAATCACATCAACAAAATTATTTACACTCGTTATTTTCATATTTTTGGATAAAAATGACAGGTATTTGGAAAATTATGACGGAGCAATGAAAGACACACAAATGAAATTTTAAGAGCATTTGACGACGATCCTCGACTAAATGCACGAAGCACGTCTCGGCAACTTGAGGTGAGTAAATCGAAAATTTGAAAAGTTCTACATAAGCAGAAGATAAGATGGCAGAAATTTGTATCATTTACAACTCGTGCAAAATTTACTTCCGGGAGATGCAGAGAGACGCCTGAATTTTTATCAGTGGTTGTAAGAATTCTTACTAGAAATACTTTGGACCGATGAGGCTACGTTCACAAGGCGAGGGGTAGTGAATTTTCACAATCTGGATATTTGGACACAAGAAAAGCCTCATGAAATTCGGACAAGATCTTTTCAACACGAATTTTCTGTGAAAGTGTGGTTCGGAATAATTCGCAATAAAGTTTGTGGACCTTTCTTCTTGCCACCCCATCTAAATTCCCAGTCATATCTAAACTTTCTAGAAAACCATATATTTTAATTATTAGAGCATGTTCCATTAAATATACGACAAAATAGCTGGATACAAAAGAATGGTGCTCCTGCGCACTTTAGGAGAATAATACAAGAATGGCTTATTGAAAATTATATGGGGTGATGAACAGGAAAAAACCAAATACCAATGTCAACCATAATGCTGCAGAGGGTCCAGTGTCTTGGCCAGCCAGATCGCCAGAAGAAGTCGGGTGTAATGAATTAAAAGAACCACCACATGATATTAGCTTCAATTAGTTCCATTAATAGATGCCAGAAATGTATCGATGTGGGTTAATTTTGTTTCTTGTTTAGTTGTTGTTGCTTGGTAAATGTATTTTAATTATTATTTTGATTTAAATTGTTCTTATTTGTAAAGATTGGGCCTCCAGGGTAAACTAAAACACATCAGGAACAACTCACAGGTGATGTGGAAAGAATTTTGTTGATGTGCTTACAAATTGCACTTACTTTTAAGCATAAACATAAATATTCTTGTAATATTATGGTTAGAATTGTCTGCCACAAGGGAATTGTATTGGTATGAATAACTTGAGAACGGTGAACTTTAGGGAAAAAATTCAAGTTCCTTTTTTACGTATTTTGTGCATTAGAATATAAATTCGTTATAATATCGTGTAAAAAATACAGTGGCGTAGTTTTTTTTACCAAAAAAGGGGGTGATCCTGTCCAGTTGTACACCCCTGCCTGAACCTATAGAGTTCATATTTTAGGGAATACAAGGCCTATTATCATACATTATATGTACTAAATTTTATTGAGATCGGTTGATAAGTTCCGGAGATATAAATAAAAAACCGATTTTTTTTAACAACTCCAACACCCTGTATCTTTAAAACGATGCCGTTCCAGACCTATGTTTATAAGGCAAATACTATTATTTTAAAGAGATCTATCTGTCCTCGAAATTTCCTGCATAAAATTCGGACCACCCTGTATAGATCGCACTGAAACAGTTCAATTTAAGTTCGTCATTATTAGTAGGTACTTAATTACGAATTTAATAGGCAAATTCCTTATTTGTACACTTCAAAAATTCTACAATGAATAATAATTTAATCATATTGTCGTAGTTTCTAATTGACGTTAGGAGAGAGGCTGTATTTCTCTTTCAATTTTTAAGTTTTATTTACTTTCTATTATGTTTCTGTGTAGTGTTCACATATTTCCAATTTTTTGTGCACTCGAAATTTTCATCAAAATTCTATTGAATTATAAATGAACGTAGATTTTAATGAGTTATGCTGAAAAGAAATCGACCTCTTTAACGACTGGTGTGTTTAGAGAATTCTTTAATATTTTTTTATATTTTTCAGTGATCATACTAATCGCTATAAACGACATAAACGATAATACACCATATTTCCCGGAAGCAAATTTGCCAGAGTCCGAAAGAGAAAATAGAACTGTTCAAGAGTCCTCACCGAAAGGGACATCTGTCAGTTCCATAGTAGCGATTGATCTTGACGTTGGAGACACTATAACATACGACTGCACGTAAGTAAATTAATAGTATATTAAACAACAAGGTTTGAAAACGACTCTTTGCACACGAGTGAGACATATTGGTGGACCGAGCCGAAGGCAAGGTCCACAAGTCGAGCGAGTGTGCAAAGAGGTTTCCAAACAAGTTTTTTACGATACTTTTTATACGACTGCAAACAGATACCACAAAAATCAAATTTTAATTTAAATCGTTTTTATTACTAAAATTGCCTACGCATTAACAAAATAAATTAAATACAACTTTTAATTTAACTCGTTTTTATTAAGAAAATTACTAACGCATTAACAAAAGAAACTAATATTTAATATTTATGGTAACATTTGAACATTCCTTCAAGGTTACGCTGGAAAAAGCAGTAGACGATCGTTGTTCTGGTTATCTGACTATCTTTTTCTAAACTTCCATTTTATTTCTCAAACAGTCATCAACGTAGCCTTCGGCAACTGTACTGGATTTCCACCCTCCATGGCGTTTGAGGGCAAGCAGATTTGAGCCAGAATTGACTAAAATTGTGGCCGATGAACGCCGAAAACAATGTCCCGTGTAACTTTCTGGATTCTCTAGCATCAAAAACTTGGCGATTTCCCTAGCCATGTTTCCAATTTTGTTGATGCCAACGTTTTGGCTTGAACATTTTCCGTTTTGATAGTTTAAAAAAAACCTGCCTGTCTTCAGATTAGGAGGACGAAGAGCACAGTACTTTTTTAAGATAGTGTAAAGGTTTCCTGTAATTGTAAAACACCTTGGTACCTTTGTTTTTGTATTCTTCAGTTTAATCAGCATAGCACTGCCGAAATCTTTGGTGTCTTCTATTTTGAGATAACATAATTCCTCCCTTCGACATGCCCCAGATAGTCCAACTGCCACCACCGCCTTGATAAGTAAATATTTGTCGTCTGATGCTTTCGTCAAAAACCGGCAAAAATCATCTTCTGTGAGGATTTGGGACTTCTTTGGGACGTAGTTTTCGGATTTTCGTTTGATTAGCGCTTGCAACTTTTTATAGCTTCCAAGATCTATGTTGTGATTGGCACTTAACGTTGACTTGAGCATCGAAAAAATCGTCCACAACGTCGAAGATTTATATTTCTTAGATAGTTCTTCAAAATACACCATTACTGCGTTTTCTGAGAAAGTTTGGACATTTTTGGCTAGTCGCCAGTCCATAAATCGGCTTAACTCAGCTTCATACCTGCTTCTGGATTTTGTGGGCAGCAGTTCCGAACATATTTCGCTTGCTTTCTGTAAAATCTCTTCAGAATCACACATTTTCACACCCAAACTTCGGGAATTCAACAATTTTTGAAGTATCTAATCAACAAAATAAAGGAGCCGTGACGGTTGCTATGAAACTCAGCCAACTTGAAACATTGCATAATTTGGGTGACAACATCAAACAAAAATCACAATCTGGAGACGCGTGTGCAAAGATGACATAACCGTGTGCAAAATGTTTAGCACACGGCGTGTGCAAAATACCGTTTTCAGAGCGTGTTTTCCGTGCGCAAAACCCCCTTTTGCAAGGCAGTCGTATAAAAAATATATTAATGATATTTGGTTGACGTATTTTCTCAAACATGTGTATCAAATAACTTCGAAAATGTCGAATACAATCCAGATAAATTACAATTTCTACTCTCTTGACTCTTAAAGTTGTTATTTGATTAAAAATTTTAAAGATATTGCAGATATTGTCTTCAAAATAACTGACATCCAAATATTACAGCATCTACTATGATAAACCAATAAACAATATAATAGTATATTATTCAACAGCGTATAATGATGGGTATTATTCACGAGGTGAAGTTTACGGCCACGAGCCGCAGGCGAGTGGCCTAAATCACCGAGTGAATAATACCCATTATACGGGAGTAGAATACTATACTTTATCCACGACTACTAAATATTTTTGTTGAAGTTTTTTTTGAAATGTTTCGAAAAACATGGTATGTTAAGAAACAGATATACGACTCGCACACATGAAGTCGCTGATGGCTCAGTGTAGATGCTCTTTCCCTTCCAACCGCGGGTCCCGGGTTCGAATCCGGTCTAGGAAAATTCACTTTTTAATTTTTTTTTTATATGTACAGCACTGAATTGAAAATATTTAGTGGTTTACACGATAAAATTTTAAAAACGGATTGCTTGTAGCAGAACAATATAATATTATAGCTAAATTAAGGAAGCATCTGACAGTAGTGATTAATGACTCATTAATCACTGCCGTGATTAATGGGTATTATTAAGGTCGAGCAAACAGACGTATAATGGGTACATTATACAATAGTCGTGGATAAAGTTAATTATATCTCAATATAAACTATATACTTTACAGGCCACTTGATCCAAACTTCGACTGGATTGATGTCAGTCAAGTAACTGGTGCATTTACTGTGAAGGACTCAAACCTGATAGATGCGGATACGGACAAAACATTTTATTTCAACTATTCTTGTACGGCTAGCGATGATGTGTATACACATACTTCCGACCCATTGATTGTAAGTAATTATTTAGTACCTACAAGAAAGTTTCATACAGCATGGGTCCTAACTTAACCGTTTTAGATAAGTTTATATGCAATTACTTATAACCTTATTTTATGCAAAAATTTGAGAATACCTAAAATATGTTTGCAATGTTTTATTTATGTGTAACTCTATCGTTATCAGTATGAATGATGTTCAACTGTGATTCATTTTCTGTTATTGTGTTTCTCGAACTGTGCCCAAATTGTCGGTCGGCAGTAATTCAATTCCCTGAAGTACAATGTATTTATGGTAATCGATATAGAGATATTGGCAGTGTTATTCCTCGCTCTAAACTAATACTGCTATAATACATTTCCGTTTAAATAAAAATAGGTTCTAGGTACTGTTAATTATTAACGATCAGTGCATATTATAATATTAAACAATTATTATACTCCTGTAATTTATGTTATTTAAATATTTACTTGTATTAATATACAATTGCCCAACAGCTGAAACCATTTACAGGACAGGCTAGACGCTAGACAAACAAAGTAAGAAACTTGCAGATATATACATAAATCTTGCACAATTGATACAATGAAAATGATGACAAAATATACGTTTTAGTTATTGAAAGCCTAAATGTGCCATGGTATTTCGAATTTACACCAGGTATGTTGACAGACAGAGTGTCAAAATTGTCAATGTTTGTACTCCGTTAATCATAAGGGATGAATCCAATTTTACTTATAGCCCCGTCGTTAGAAATGATTTTGCACTAAAAGCACAAGTAATTAGCAATATGGTTGATTTTTTTTTATAAGTTCTTCAAAGTATACAGATTAATATAAGAAAAAGTTCACTGGTCTATAAATTTCCCAAAGTCCAAAAAAATTTTGAAAAACATTTTGATTTTCGAAATTCTTTAATATTTCGGGCTCGGATTAACGTAGAGAAAAACAAAAATACTAGATTTTCGAATATCCTCAAGGTAGTAAATAGTAAATACAAGGTAAGGTTTACATATTTTATTACAACATTTTATACTTATATATATTTTTATTACAAAATTATAAGAAAAAAATTACATAGAATCATCTACATGTTGTCCATCCTCGTTATCATCATCTGTTTTCACGCAAGTTTTTCAATTTTTTTTTTTTTTTTTTTTTTTGACCTTTTTTTTTATATTAATCTGCATTCATTGAAGTATTTAAAAAAAAATAGCCATTTTGCTAATTACTTTTTTCTGTGGCCTTCACCGTCTGGGCTATTAAAATAAACTTGCTTCAAAAATTTTCTTTGTGCATTTTCATTCGTATGATTCAAACTGATATTTCTGATATCAGATTGGTCTGAAACATACGTATGAAAAATAAAAGCAAAGTAATTCATTGATTGATTGGAATATCATTCAATATATTGGATCTTAAAAGAAGGGTTATATTTTGTAAGGAAAGATTAATGTAATCCGCTTCCTAGATAATGAGAATACACTACTTTTTAATGTTCAAGTTGAGATTTCAGTTACATCAGCCATTAATTCGATCAAAGTTATTCTGTAATAAATCACGTTACTCAAGGCGAGAAGATTTCATTAATATACATTTTAAATAATAATGGACCTAAAATTGAACCCTGAGGAACCCCAGATAATGCACTAAATTCTATCGACTATTGCTATTGAACAAATGTCATGACGATGCGAGTTAAATACTTGACACAGTTTACCAGAAACATCAACGCAATTTTTGTCAAGAAGAATCCCATGATGAGTCAACATAAATTGCATCAACATGACCTGAATCTATTTCTTATAAAGTCGAGTTGACTTTATGACCCACATTCTTATATATAGGGTGTTTCAGGATTAAGTCGACAAACTTTAAGGAGATATTCCTCATAAAAAATAAGAAAAAAATCAAATATAAATTTTTTTCCAGAGACGCATCATTTTCGAAGTATAAGGTGTTACAGATTTTAAAAAAAAAATCGAATTTTTTAAATAAGTTCTAAATGAAGAAGGCTATTTAAGCCAAATTTAGCATGACAGATCTTCTTATAAGATACCATTTTTCCGTAGAAGTAGAAGTCCCAAAAGCAACCAGTTGCGGAGTTATGGGAATTAAAAAAAATTAATACGGCCATACTGAAAATAAAAAATGATGCTGTTTTTAGATAGATTTGTTATTGACAAAAAGTGTATATTCACTTTTTTGCCTAACTCTTACAGTTTCATGGCAAAATTCATTTTTCGGAAGGGTGCTTCTGGATTCTGTCGATAAACTTTAGGAAGACGTTCCTCATAAAACTAAAAAAAAAATATAGTACCTATTAAAATTGATCTTAGTCTCGAGTATGCATGAGTCAAATAAGCCCTTTTGTCTCCTCTTTCCTTGGGTTTAACTTATTGTATTAAAATTATTTAGGTGATGCTTCGTTTTTGAGATATAGGGTGATTTTTTAGAAAAAAAATTGATGTAGATAAAAACAATAGAAATTTAAGTACCTAACATCTAATGTGATTATGTCGTAATGCGACAACGTAACGACCCTTGCAATACTCCTAAATTTTTTCAGGCGGTTTGTAGTCACTTCATTTACTTGTGTTGTGTATTTTTAAATAAAATAAGATGGCAAATAATACATGAAAATTTATTTGTAAATTGAAACAACCAAAAAATTACCAATTAATATTATACCTAGACAAAGCGAAAAGTGAATCAAAAATGAAATGATTTAAAAAATATTTTGTTCAAAATGGGCGCCTCCGGACTGTAGACAAGCACGACATCTTCTAATTATGGAGGTAGTGGCCGATCGACACTGAATTGGAGTTAATTCTCGACACGCTTGGACTATTCGCTGTCTTAGATCTTCTAGGGTATCAACTGGCACCTCGTAGACTTTTTGTTTAACAGCACCCCAAACGAAATAATCCATCGGTGTCAAGTCCGGTGAACGTGCGGGCCACGCTGCAGGTCCTCCACGACCAATCCATCTCCTGGGATAATTAATGTTTAACCACTCCCTAGGACCTCTACCAAAATGGGCAGGACAACCATCTAGTTGAAACCAACTGTTCATTCGAGTATTAAGCGGAACATCTTCTAACAGATCTTGAAAACCATTTTCAAGGAACTCGGTAAACATGTCAGCATTTAACCGATGCGGAAGGAAGTAGGGACCAACTATAGTGTTGTCCAACACACCCAACCATACGTTACATTGGAATTCATGCTGAAAACTATGTTCCCTTACCGCCCGTGGATTCTCGTAGGACCAAATATGGTTGTTCCTTTGGTTTAAAATTGCCCTTCGAGTAAATGTTGCCTCATCTGTCCACATTACTTTTTGCGTAAACTGATCATCATTCTCTTCTTTAACATCCAGTCACAAAACACGCGCCTGCATCGTATGTCCTGAGGCAATAAATGTTGCACACGCTGGACGCCATGCGTACCATACGCATGGCGTCCATCAGCCCGAAGAGTCCTCCAAATGGAACTTGACGAAATACCTAGCTCATAGGTCACACCTTCTTCTCTTCCACTCTTCACTCACATTTTCATCTCCACTCGTGGATGGATTTTCATCGAAATGGTTTCATCGAAATGGTTTCATCGAAATGGTTTAAAATAGTATCTTACTTCGTCCTGAAGTGGGGCAAAATGTCCATCAGCATAAGTTGGAATAACGAAAGACCCAGTTTGTCTGAGACGATTGAATGTTATTGAAAATGTTTCATTTGCTGGTAGTCTGCGATGAGGAAATCTTACTGCATATTCACGGCGAGCCTCCGTGGCATTTCCATCACAAAAACCATATACAAAGACCATATCAGCATATTCATTGTTCGAAAATATGGACGGCATTATTAAACTTATTTTTATTATTAGTTTGAACGCTTTATCTAATGGATAATTTATGCAACGATTCGCAAAATAACATTTAAAACATCAAATTAACATTGCTTGACAGTAGCCTACTCGAAAATTTTTGTTGAGGTTCATTTTAAAGTTTATCGACAGAATCCCGGAGCACCCTTCCGAAAAATCTATTTTGCCATAAAACTATAAGAGTTAGGAAAAAAAGTGAATGTACACTTTTTGTCAATAACAAACTGTTCTATCGAAAAACAGCATAATTTTTTATTTTTAGTAGAGCCATATTAATTTATTTTTATAATTTAATGAGTCTGAGTCCCCATAACTCCGCCACTGGTTGCTTGCGGGACTTCTACTTCTATAGAAAAATGGTGTCTTATAAGAAGATGTCTCATCCCAAATTTGGCTTAAATAGCCTTCTTCATTTAGAAGTTATTTAAAAAATTCAAATTTTTAAAAAAATCTTTAACGCCCTATATTTTGAAAATGATGCGTCTCTGGAAAAAAATTTATACTTGATTTTTTTCCTATTTCTTTATGAGGAATATCTCCTTAAAGTTTGTCGACTTAATCCTGAAACATCCTGTATAAATAGGAGTGAGTGATAGTTGACAGTGGCATATTTTCCATAGAGCTAGAATTTCTGTAAGTGGTTTTTAAAACTAAAGCACAATCAATTTAACCATAAGACCAAATTTTTATGGTTCATAATACTTATCGATAGAATATTAGATTGACTGTAATTCGCACGAGACTATGAACTTTTAACACAAAGTTTCTTTAATGTATGTACAGTAAGAGATTATTTAATTGAGCCATTTATTTTTCTTCGATGATTAAAGGACAAGCTATTTTGACATTTTAATTACGATATTACCAATTGTGTTAGAAAATATTTCGTAGAATATTTTACAAGAAATTGAAACTCCTGCACGTACTTTTTCAAGGTGTTTAATATTAGTTAATATATTTGGTGACAGATTTAGATTGTTACCACCATTGCTACCAAATCTTATTCCTTTAGATTTTTATTTGTGGTGTTATCTATACAGGGTGTTAAAAAAAGAGTATAAAATATTACAGGAGGTAATAGTATGAACCAAAATAAGCAGAAAAGTCTTAATAAACATGGGTCCGCAAAGTAACGGTTGCGGAGATATGGACCACTATTCGTTTTTCAAACATTTTATTTTATTAGGAATAAACCGACAAAGGAAGCTTTTAACAAACAAAAAACAAAGTTACAGAAGATGTTCAAAGTGCCCTCCGTCCATTTCCAAGCAGGCACGACATCTTCGTCTCAACGATATTCGAACTCTTTCGAAAACACCCTCCTTGGTTTGGATTTCTTGACACTTTTGATTAATCCGTAGCTGCAGCTCTTCCAGGCTATTTACAGGAGTACCATACACTAATGTCTTCAAATATCCCCAAACAAAGAAATCTAGAGGGTTCAGATCAGGCGATCTTGGAGGCCATAAAACAGGTCCGGCCCTTCCTACCCATCTATGTGGAAAAGTTTGGTGTAAATGCTCTCTAACGGCCATGGAAAAATGAGCTGGAGCACCATCATGCTGGAACCACATTTGTTGCCTCTGATTCAAAGGAATGTCTTCCAAAAACTCATACAGTGTGTTCTGCAGAAAGTTGAGGTAAGCAGCGCCTGTTAATCGGTTTGGTAAAACAACAGGACCTAGAAACCTGTCACCTACAATACCCATCCAAATGTTTAATGAAAAACGTGCCTGATGTCCAGATTCTATTAGAGCATGAGGATTTTCGTCGGCCCAAATATGCGTATTGTGAAAATTAAACACTCCATTTCTTGTGAACCCGGCCTCATCAGTAAAAAGAATGTTTGCAAGAAAACGAGGGTCTTCAGCATCATGACGTAGAAACCAGCGGCAAAAAACCAAACGTGCTTGATGATCATTTATTGGATTTAAGGCCTGTACTCGTTGCACATGGTATGGATAAAGCAGTTGCTCGTGAAGGATTCTCCAAACAAGAGGACCACTAATTCCTACCTCGGCTGATATTCTCCGCACACTCGTACCTGGATTCTGCTCTACCAGTGCTAGAATTTCTTCTTCTGCTCTAGGAGTGGATACCGACCTTGGTCTTCCGGATAAATGGCACTGTTTGCTCAAGGAACCGGTATCACGCAATCTTTGGTGAATTCTTCCAAACATGCGTTGTGAAGGAATCTGGCGATTTGGATAAGCGTCAACATAAAGACGTCGCGCTTCGGTGGCGTTCCCATTAGCACGACCATACATGAAATGCATGTCTGTTAATTCTGCGTTAGAGTAACCAGCCATAGCGAAAGAAAACTTGTGCACTGAGAACAACTGTCAAATACGTACTGTTTATTTCACTAAACATCAACCAACTATTATAAGAAAATACACAACGTTTTTGCAAAATAAAAAAAGGGGCTAAAAAACATAAAACATTCCATATCTCCGCAACCGTTACTTTGCGGACCCATGTTTATTGAGACTTTTCTGCTTATTTTGGTTCATACTATTACCTCCTTAAATATTTTACACTTTTTTTTAACACCCTGTATATGAGAATTATTATTGCTAAATAATACCGAAAGATTGGGCTCTTTTTAATATTTTTAAAATTATTAGACTTATAATCTAGGTAACAAAGGACTTTTATATTTATTTCATGTTATTCAACATAAAATTTAAAAAATTATTATCCTAAATAAGACTTATTTTTATAACGAACTATATTATTTTCAAGTAATATAATGATAATGTTAAAATGGATGGTTTATCTAACTTTTATTCATAATTTAGGTCCCCTTTTATATAATCGACACCAACAACAAAGTTCCTGTTATAACAATTGACGATACGGTATATGTTAATGAGAAGAGCGAGCCAAATACAGAGGTTGCTGCAATCGGCACTCGTGACGATGACAGAGACAGTAAGTTAAATATTTAATTTGCACAATGAAAATATTATATCGCTTCTACTTTGAAGGCTGTTTTTTTTTTGGATATTCTTTAGGAATTTTCTTCATGGAACTGGCAAAACACACTTTGTTGAAACTTTAATATTATATTTATTAATATTGGAAGGTTGTTTAAATATTTTTTTTAAGATAAAATAAAAACAAGAATCCGATAACACCCATGTAAAAAAGTTGTCGGGCGGTATCCTCAATTCCAAATTTCCATTTCTCATGAAATAAAAAAAGGAAATGACATTTTAATGTGTGGATGTGTGCCTGTCGTGTGAATTAGAATCCAATGAAAATATTGAATTTGCATTTTTGCTGAAGTTTTGAAAAGAAAGTCAAATTTTCATAATTTTTTTTTTGACACTACAAGTTATATGTATAAGATATCTTAATTATTCTAGTTCAGACGAAAACTAGAACTATTCGTTAACACGATAATGTCACTATATGACTGCTCAAGGCGGCTTAATTGAAAAATTGAGATGAAGGTTAAACATTTACACTACAAATAATTATTTCTAGCGCTCTTGACCTTTCAGCTAATCCAATTTTAACCCTTCGAGCCCCGGGTGTGTACAAAGTATCCATGGTATTTTATTTTAACTTTCATATCTCCTTTCTATTGCAAGAAATGGCACTTCTAACGCTATCTATTTCGAAAAAAAAAATGTTACAATATATACAAACAACCCACTCACTATAAAACTCGTTATAAATAGTATGCTTGCAGCATTCGTTCGAAGTTGGAGTGTGGGTACACAATTGACCCCACTCGGAGCGGCGCGGCGCGTCGTTTTTTCAAGTTTGTTGTTGTATTTTTTTCAATTTTTTAATTCCTGAGGAAGTAAGTAATCATAATATTCAATATTTTTCACCAATTTTTTTTTATTAATTTTTTACTAATTTTTACAGTAAAAGGAATCCGAGGAACCCGAAGCAGAATATGAAAACGCAAGAAGTATTGAATAAAAAAATTACGGAGTCTCGAACACGTGGTATAATGTATTTTAATATTGTTGTGACGTACCCTTAATCGCACTAGGGGTATGATACGACCTACCCTTGGTCGCACTGGGGTATAACTCAAAGACGGTATTCAACAAATAACAATATATTGACTCTTGAAGTAAAAAGTAAATAACAAAAAATATAGTAGAAGACAATGGTTTTAGACACAATTTCTGTCTGGAAGGTGACATAATAATTTACAAACAGGATCTTACCAAACTCCAACCATCATGTAGGCAGGGTGAGATCTGGCACTTTCACCGCTCACTGACCGACAACCAGAAAGGAACTCCTCGAGCTATCGTCCTGTCTCGAGCATCCACCCAGCTACCCCGATTTTGCTGGGCTTGCAATGTTCCCCGAGTAGTTGACTTCTACATTGTTATAGTTATCAATCACTCGGCATAGTACCGTGTGCAAAAGGATATCACCGTTACTTTGATCCTTACAATCGCGCGACAATTTTGCCAAAGACTTTCGTGTTCTAGAAAATGTGTGTGTATAAATCATGAAATATAAAATAATTTTGAATAAAACTCGGTTGATGTTCTTTTCATATTTAACTTTAAAAATTCCCAATTGCTAATTACTAAAAATCCATATTTGACAATATAATTTCAGCTAAATTGATTTATTCAATAAAAAAAACATTAATTTATTCCTAACATACCATAACTTCACCAACTAAAATAAATATACCTACATATTTCAAGATAGGTCATTTTTTTCCTTCAAGAAAATATTGAACATTAAAAAAATTATACGACTTTTAAAAATACCCATATTTTTTCATTTTCAACTTTTTTAGATTTCAAATATTTTTTTAGCACTTATAATAAAAATTTTTGCCTTGTATGTATTAGAACCCATTTTTAAACATTAAAATGTGCCCTCCAATGCTGGCATAAAGAAATAATGGACACTTTAGTAAATACAACTATTTAAAAATTGCCTTAGGGTCAATAAGACCCAGTTGGGGCGCGGTAATTGAAAATGAAACCCGGGTTTTAATCATACCCATTGATCCATTTTCACAATTTTATAAATTTTAGAAAATTTTGAGAAGGAATAGTATATTTTATCTTTTGGTTGCAATGACGCTTACTATTTTACAAAAATAAATAATTAAATTGTTCCTTTCTAGTTCCATTCCATACTGTTGCGTGTAATTTGGATAAAACAGAGACGTGTGCAGATAAATTTATAATTGTCAATAATGTAATATTAGTGAAAAATGGCTATGCGGATATAGACAGAGATTTAGGAGATTCAGTTTATATCTGCCCTATAACATGCCAGGACAATCCGCACTTTTTACAAAGTAAGTATATCTGAAAATTCTCTCAAATATGTCATTTTGAAGAGAAAACTCTTTTTCATTTTACAAAAAAAAGTCAGTCTTGTTGTAAAAACTGTGTTTGTGTTTAAATGCACAGATTAGTTATTTCTCGAAAACTGTCATCAAAAGTCGACAGTTAAATTCGTTAAGTCTTTTTTGTCACCTACCTGCAAAATACTTTTATGTTTGAGAACACCAAAGTCTTTTCGTTCTAGAACATAAAACAAATGCCAAAATAATTTTTGTCATTTTTTCGAAACTTATTTATGATTTTATTAATTAAACAATATACATTTTAAGTAATATAATATTTTTATACAAAACACTAACTATTATAAACAGGACGATTACAATTTATTTTGCACTACATATAAATTGAAAGTGCCGATATTGCAGCGAGTTAAATTTATGCCAGATCCAGTGCTGTCAGTTATCGTAGCTTTTAGTTCTGGGGCTGCTACAGTAATTGTTTACTGCGCACGTTGAATTATTGTCAAGTTCCGTTCCGCTGAAGATGGTAACAATTTATTTGCGATTGAAATTTTATTATGTGTAGAGTTTGTGTGGTGGTAATATCGGCCCCTGCGTCGGCTAACAGAATGGCGGAAGAACGTCTGAAGCAGTACCCCGTATAAGTTTCCGGATGAGGCATATTGAGATATGTTGCTATTTATTTTGGCACATTCCTTATTTTGTTGACGCCAACCACTTGGTTAACAAGTTTTACCCTGACATACTTCTCAGAAAATCTTCGACTTGTAGTAACTGCCGACGTAAAGCACAGTATTTGCGGTATATCTTCATTTAGTCTGGACTTGAAATTACAAAATATCTCGGAGTACGAGTTTTGGAATCGGGAATTCTTATAATAATAACTGAATTTTTGTCTTCTATACCATCGATCCATATCTTTAGTAGCTCATCTCTTCTCACCGCTCCACAAACACCAATTATTAAAATGACCTGAAAAGTTGTCTAAAATTAGTTAATTCGATCGGTTTATATTAATTTGGATTACCTTTCCTAGAATTCTCGACATTTTCGGATGGTATCCTACTAATTTGCTTTTCAAATATATGGTATTAGTTTTGAAAATTTTCCGGTATTTACATTTTTTTTGGCATTCAGTGTACTTTTCAATATGGAATATACTGACCATAACGTCGAAGGTTTAATTTTATTAATTTTATGTTCCAAAGATGGCAATAATAACGCTTCGGACACTTTTTGAATCCTTTTCGAACCACACAATATATGTATGTATAATTCTGACACTAGTTTTTCAAATTAATTTTTATTGTTTATTAGGTTGCTATCGTTATGACCGCGCCTAAACCGTCTTGATTCACACACGGTTCAAATGATTTCAAATATAAATTATGTTGGTTTTGTTTGTAAGCATCCGTGGCTGTCGTTAATGGTTGAATGATTTCCGGGCTGGTTGCCACGTCGTCGGTTTATAACACTTGACGTTTCGAGAGACATATCGCTCTCTTCTTCAGAAGTTATTCTGAAACTGGAGATCTACTAGTCTTGTCACTATTTATATTTGATGTGGTCACTGGTCCATGATGTTTCGGTGGGTGACCTCGTACGCGTTGTTGACGTTCCAGTGGGTTTCTTTCACGGATGACTCTCTTCCATATACTTGATTCATCGAGCGCGGATCATCAGCGAGCCAAGACACTTGGCCGAAGAACTAGAACACCTACGCACGGCCTTGAAAGGGAATGGCTACACGGCGAGAAATATAGAACGAGCTATCAGGAGGAGACATACACCCGTTGAGAAACAGGAGTACTTAGCGACGACGTATCTACCTTACGTGAAAGGTTGTACAAATAAAATCGGGCGTCTTTTGAAGAAAAGGAATATCAACACAGTATTCAGTACTGTAAGTAAGGTGACGGGGGCCCGGTGTGTACAGTATTCCTTGCTCTTGCGGAAAGGTCTACATAGGACAAACAGGAAGGCGCATCAACACGAGGTTAAAGGAACACAAAAGTCACCTCAAAAATAACAACTGGGAAAAGTCGGCAGTAGCAGAGCATAGGGCGGACTCAGGACACAGTGGATTTGAGTGAAGCCAACATGGTGGTGAGAGAGAGAGAAGATTTTGACCCCGACTATACAGAGAAGCATTAGAAATTTACAGAAATCCGAACAACTTCAACAGGGATAGTGGCTTGGATCTGCCAGGTATATGGAAGAGAGTCATCCGTGAAAGCAACCCACTGGAACGTCAACAACGCGTACGAGATCACCCACCCACTGGAGATCTACTAGTCATAAGAGTAGTAGATCTCTGGTTTCAGAGTAACTTCTGAAGAAGACAGCAATATGTCTCTCGAAACGTCAAGTGTTATAAACCGACGACGTGGCAACCAGCCCGGAAATCATTCAACTATAAATTATGTTATTGCAGATAACACAATCGCCTTATTTTGTTGCAGTTTTCGAAAAAATATTGTTTGCATCTCGAGCGCCAAATGCTTTTGCGTTCTCGAATGGATATTTTGCCTCGCTAAGATCGGGAACTTCTTGAACACAAAAGTACCATTTCCGGTTGTAGATACAAAAATGTAATTTTAAATGGAGCGACATATATGAACTTATTTGATATACAGTGCGTTCCAGAAGTAATGCAAAAAATTCGTATTTTATTTTGTGTTGAGTTTTCACAAAAACGCTAAAACACATCAATTAGTAAATAGGAATTGTCGTTTTATCACGTTAATTAAAACTTTTTTGCGCTGTTTCATAAAACTATGACGTCATCGACATTTTTTTTAAATAGCACTACTTAATTTTTTAATCATCAAAGGATAGCCCTTTTGACGGAAAATGCGTCGATATATGGTTTGGCCTACTTTACTTTGATAGGTGCGAAAAAAGCCAGCGATTGGAATGGACATGGTTTAATATAACAACAAAAGTAGGTATCACAAACTGATGCGAGAACAGTGCTACAGCAAAAAATAATGGGAATTTGTAGATGTTTTTTGTTTTGGTTGATTGTACGTACATGTTTTTATGTAGACTGGGTAGTTTCACCCGATCACAGCGGCTAGGCATTGTTTTGAAGACGACAATTAGCGAATGCAACAAGTTACAAATACCATAACTTTACATAAATAGTGTAGTTTCAGCAGATAATATTTGGTTTCAACAGAATGGGGCGCCTCCTCATTTTGGGATTGCTGTAAGGAATTACTTGCATGACATTTTTCCAAATAGGTGGATAAGCCGAAGAGGAGCTATCGAGTGGCCACCACGTTCACTCGATTTCACTTGATTTAACTCCCCTAGCTTAGTTATTGTGGGTTTATTTAAAAAGCAGAGTTTACGTTGATAGACCGGACACCATCCAGGGCGCATAAGAGAAGAAATTAATCAGATACCACCAGAGGCAATTCAAAATACCACGGATGAATTCGAACATCGACTCGCCCATTGCCTAACTGTTAACGGGGGTCACTTTGAACATTTTCTAGTCATATAAAATTGTTTAACTAAAAATCCGTAAGTTATTGTTTTTGAGAAACTCTTTCGCATTCTGTACATTAAATTAAGTAATAACGAGCGTTCAATAAAAACGTGATCAAGTTGGTTCTGAAAATTTTTACGTAGGGCGTAGCGTATAGCAAATGAACTTAAACGTCATCTGTCAAAGCGCTATATCGCCGCTATCAATTTGAATATTTTCGTTTTAAAAAGCGTTTAAAATGGTGTTTTCTCAAGAACAAAAAGTGTTTATCATAGAGTCCTACTTTAGAAATGGACGCAAGATTGATGGAATATGGAAGTATTCTATTGAGGAATGTTTCATAGAATTTCAAAATCAATTTCCCGGCGTTGTTGAGTACAAAATTTTTCAAAGTGCAGTTCAGCGTTGTGTTAATGTTTTTCGTGAAACAGGCAGTGTAACAAGAAAAGAAGGAAGCGGCCGACCTAAAAAGCGGACTGAAGAATTAAAAGAAAATGTCCAACAAATAATGGAAAATGCGAAAAGAACTTCTGTACGTGTTTTATCACAAACGGTGGGAGTATCAGTCGGCACCTGCCACACAGTGTTAAAAAAAGATTTGCGTTTGTTCTCCTATCGTTTAATTTGTCAGCAAGAACTTCATGAAGTTGATTTTCCGCGACGGGCTGTATTTTGTGAATGATTTTTAAACAACTACGGTGAACTTCATAATATCACCTTTTTTCTGATGAAGCCTGGTTTCATTTAAGTGGTTACGTAAACTCACAGAATATGAGAATGTGGTCTTCTGAAAAACCAGATAACTTTTTTGTCGAGGGTCCTCTACACGCTCAAAAAATTGGAGTTTGGTGTGCTCTCAATCGAAGGAGGATTTATGGACCTATTTTTTTTAATGGTACTCTTACTGCGCAAAGGTATAGAGAAGAAATTATCGCTCCTTTTGTTAACCAGCTGGAAGAAAACGAAATTACAAACTTTTACTTTCAACAAGATGGCGCAAGGCAGGCGAGACGATGAATATGTTGAGGGAAGTTTTCCAAAATCGACTAATAAGTCTCAATGCTGAACATGAATTTCCACCGAGGTCATGTGATATTACGCCGTGTGATTTCTTTTTGTGGCCTTACCTTAAAAAAACTATTTTTGAACTGCCTATTCCTGATTTAAACCATCTGCAGGCTCGACTTATAGACAAGATTCGTGAAATTAACAATACCCCGAGCATCTTAGAAAATGTCTTTTAATTCTTTGAGGAACAGGTGTGAAAAGTGCTTGGAACAAGGAGGGGGACACTTTCAGCAGCTGCTTTAATTTATTGTTATAACAAGGAGGGGGACACTTTCCGCAGCTCCTTTAATTGTTTGTTATTGTTATCACGACTATTCTTTAAAGTAAAGTTATATAGTCATTAACGTTATTGAAACTGACAGCTGCTATACAGCTCGTTTAGAAATGAGGTTAAGTTGGTCGCTATAAGCTACTCCCTACGTCCAATGTATCAGAGCCAACTTCGACCACGTTTTTATTTACGCTCGTTACATTTGTCTATTTTTTTCGCACCTGTCTGTTAACCAAACCCTATATCGACGCATTTCCCTTCAAAAGGTCTATCCATTTATGCTTAAAAAATTTGGTGTGCTATTTAAAAAAAATGTCTATGACGTCATAGGTTTAAGAAACATAGCGCAAAAAAGGTTTAAGCAACTTGACGAAACGACAATTCTTATTTACTAATTGACGTTTTTGCGAAAACGCAACCCAAAATAATATTTGAATTTTTTGCGGTACTTCTGGGACGCACTGTATATCAATATTACATTATGCAAATTAAGAAACGCATAAATAGAACATCCCAACTTTTAACTTTTAGAGGGTGCCTTTAAACCGTCTTAATAGTTGGTATTGATGACATATTTTATTATATACTTTAACCGCCTTGTTTTCTAACTAGTGCTTGTTGCAACTAAACTTGCAGTTGTGCAAATTACTACATCACGATTCACTATTCACCTATTTTTTTTAAGTAATCATAAATATTTGAAAATAATAATACAATTTTACTATCCTTTTAAGAAGATAAAAATATTGTAAAAAAGAAATAACTAGTTTGTCTATGAAGTTATTTTCATTCACATCGGTGACACATTTTGGTACATTTTGTCAATCTGTGAATTTATTGGGAAGTTGTCTTGCAAATAATAACTGCATAAAATGAATAAAAGTCTTACAAGATAGTTGAAAAAATAACAAAACCGGTGTTTTTAACATCCTTACAATCATAAATGAAAAATAGATTCATTTGTTTTATAATAAGAACTTAATTCTCAATTCTTTTTAGATGACAGGAACCCCAATTATGTATCCACAATAATAAGAATTCGGTTGCTGGATATTAACGACCACGTCCCAGAAGTTTTGACTACGAAGTTAAGCACTTCTGAAAACGTTGAAAAGGTACGTTCAGAAATATTTAAATTTGATATTTTTATTCAGTAACACAGAATCTCTGTGACATTCCAATTTGATCCTGGCTACACTATTAGGATCTCCTGATATAAAAAATATGTTTGTCCGTGAGAAATGTCCTGTACCTCCAAAACTTTATTTAGATGACTATAAGTTTATAATTTTCAATTTTGTTTCAGGGTGACATAATTGGAATAATACTAGCAATGGATATAGACGAGGGCGATAACGCTGAAATAGATTTTGAAATCACAAGCATTGAAAACTCCAATGGCGAAGATAGTTCTGGTTTGTTTGGTATTACTACAGATGAAAATTACTATGTGGATTTAACTCACAAGCAGGCAAATCTGATTGCATCTCAAGATTTGAGAGGGGCGTTTGGAAATTACACTGTAGCACTCCGGGTACGATTAAATTGATTTTAATAACAAAAAAATATGTAAAAATAATAATAATGAAATGAAACTGAAAGGTGTACGACTGTACGTATTTCAATGATGACATTTTTTAAAGTGTATACATAAAGAATTTATCCATTCAAGCCGTTAAATTATCAGTTATAATATCACAAGAGCATAGAAAATATTCGATTATACTTCCGAGTCACGAGACGTATTCTGCGAAACACCACGACAGCGTAGCTGGAGTGGTGTTTTAAGGATATACGTCGAGTGAGGAGGTTAGTATAATCGAATATTTTCGTTTGCTCGAGTGGTATTCGATACGATTATATAATTCAGAGCTTGAACCGAAGCGTTCCATTTTTTTTTGACGTTTATTGACAAATGTTAAAACTATCGTTACCATGACATAGTTCACATTGTTGGAGGAGGCGAAACACCAAAACGGTTATACCACGTCGTCAAGAGTATAATCGCTTATCAATACATAGTAACTACGTAAAATTTGTAATTGCTATTGGCTAAATTTCTAATGAATTATATAATCAGTTATAATATCACAAGAGCATAGAAAATATTCGATTATACTTCCGAGTCACGAGACGTATTCTGCGAAACACCACGACAGCGTAGCTGGAGTGGTGTTTTAAGGATATACGTCGAGTGAGGAGGTTAGTATAATCGAATATTTTCGTTTGCTCGAGTGGTATTCGATACGATTATATAATTCAGAGCTTGAACCGAAGCGTTCCATTTTTTTTTGACGTTTATTGACAAATGTTAAAACTATCGTTACCATGACATAGTTCACATTGTTGGAGGAGGCGAAACACCAAAACGGTTATACCACGTCGTCAAGAGTATAATCGCTTATCAATACATAGTAACTACGTAAAATTTGTAATTGCTATTGGCTAAATTTCTAATGAATTATATAATCA